TAAAATTCAATTACTTTTGTTAGATGAAATCAGTTTATATGGGGCCGACGCGCATTAAGGATTTCCCTACCGTCCCATACAATATTCGCGTCTTAAGGCGGTGTTACGTGTAAGTTATTATAAGAGGTGCGCCGGGGGAAATGAATGTCGAGTGGGCCGACCCGTTGTCATTCATATTAGCGACGACTGCCTAAATACGTAATCATACGTCGACGATTCATAGCCGGCCAAAATTTAAATTAAATTTAAAAGTTATATTCCGTATATTTAAATTAATGCATGGTTTACTTTAATTTCATATTTTAAAAAATAATAATTTACACACATTATTTTTTTTTAATAACACATAAAAGATTTAATTAGGCACCAATATTTAACATAAGTTTTTATACAAAAGATTGGGAAAGAAAATAGTTCTTGAATCGAAAGAAAAATAAATTTAAGACAAGATAGCTTGTCTTTATTATTTTTTTCATTCGATTCATTTTTAGCCGTGTCTTAACTTTATGACTGAAATCATATTAGTAGTCTGTATGTTTTGAATTTTTTTTTATATTAAACGTAACCACACAATCTAGAAACATTGTTTTATATTATCATCTTTTTGTGTCACTGGTTGAAAGTTGAAAACTGCGTATAATTTTAATCAAAACGTTCTAGAATAATATCTCTTCCATATTGCTCTATCTCAGTATCGCAGCGGCTTTAAAAGTTGAATAGTTTCTGCAAACATCTCGAAGTATAAATCCGCGAAGCAAATAGTCACTTGCTCTGCTGCGATCCGTATTGTTTTGAAGAGGACAGCGCAATGCATACATTATGTACACACTTAAAATCAAGGGGCATAAAAGCTTCGGGTAGGTGCGCCTTAATAACGCTCACGAGAAGAGTCCGTAACACAGAATGATTACGCACATAAAGAACCTTATCTCTTTACACTACGCGACGGCATAAACCGGTAACAGTCGGGAATAACTGTTCCACAACCGCTTGAATGTTTACGCGATTTTTACGCACCAATCTCGCCGCTCGCTCGCTAGAAATTGAAAACGGAATTATGATCAAATAAAAAGGCAGCGAAATGCCCCCAATCTTACGGCGGGTCATCGCTGAATACGTTTTAAAACTAACAATAAAGTTCGTTCGTTCGTTAAATTTCGTCGGCCGATTCTTCCGGATATATCGTAAATTTGATTTCGAATTTCACGTGCACGTGGCGCTGATGACACAGCCCAATCCGTATAGTTAGCCTGTGTAATTGTTGATTCTGGCCCTCGCAAACAATCTAGGCACAATGTAGTTCGAGGCTTCCTATTGCTTCGACGTGCATTATTATTCGTAACGACCAAACCCGTAGGCCTATTCCACTTTAAATACAATACACTCCTGAAAGTATACTTAGTGCTAGTTCGTAATTAGGGTTGGCATTCTATGCGAAATTTTAAAAATGGAATAACAGCAGATTGTTCTGTGAAAGTTTTCGAAAACGGAATAGCTCAAAGAGTTTCTGAGCATATTCAAAAATGGAATGTTAATTATCCCCAAACATAAAATTAGCATTACAATAAAGTACATGGAGTAACAAAAAATGGATGCGCAATTCAGCTATGATAAAACATAAGCGTGATTTTATGGAGTGCCGAGAGTCGATTACAATGACCTTGCATAATAAGGCAGCGGCGCCGGCACGGCTCGGAGCGCTGAGCTGAGCGCGAGTTTTAAAAGACTCTATAGGGTTCGTTTAGGGTTCATTCTCAAGGAAATTTCATGCTACGTCTAACGCTAGTCGAGCGTGCTACGGAGAAAACTTTTCACCTCGCTACGGTGCTTTGAGAAATTTAATTTGTTTCAATTCAACGTTTGGTAACTACCTATTGAATCCATTGTAGCTAATAATTGACTTGAAGTTTCAAGTAGTGTCGAATGATAATAGGTAAAAGTACATTAAAAGTAAAATCCCACCTCACCTTATAGAACAGACACATTTCCACAATAAATACCCGATTAATAAATTTATTGCCAAAAGAACGATTGTGTCAAATCTCTTATATTTTAAATAAAAAAAAAACATAATGTTCATTTAATAGAAGGCATTAATTGTAATTCAGATGCGATATCGACGTTTTTATATTTTAAAAATTATTTTCAAAAAGACATAGTATTTCTTTATTCATAAAATTAGAAAGCACCCAAAAAGTAAAAAAATAAACAAATATGTTTCGCGTTTAAAACCGTTAAAACTGTTATATTAATCATTAATATTTAATCGATAGTTTCATTTTATATTGAATAGATTAAAATTTAGTTTTGTGTTAGAAAAATACTATATTTATTTCTATGTGAAATTAGTTCCTATAAAAATAATACCAAAAATAAGATGGCGTTAATTGATTCTGGCTAATACAAAGTGAAGTGGTCCTATCCGATAACCGCATCAATGTAAATGCGTTTTTAATTACCAAGGGCTGAATGTGAGAGTAATTTAAGTCAGAAGTCAGCGCTTAATGATTCATCCAAGTATTTAAATAGAACAATTAAAACCGGTCAAGCGTTCATTGTGTAAACATTTTTACGTCTGCCGTTGCCCTGAACCGTTTTGCATTTCTACTGGCTTCCATTACGCTTTCAGGAAGTGCAGGAAGCTCACAAATCCATAGACAAGCAATTAAGAAGTAGAGAAATTTAAAGAAAGAACACCGGAAATAGAAAATGTGTAAAGTCAAAATGCGTGGTTATAGATAATTGAGGGTACGAGACACTTAGAGAAAACATATGTTAGATAAACATACGATATACGGGAATCAGGAGAAGAAGATATATTCACATCTTGAATAAATAAATGACTTAATCATTTATTTATTGTTTGTTTGTTTCTCCTTCACGTCTCAATCAAGCAACGAATGTGCTTGATTGTAATTTACTGAGATTTAGTCAGTGGAAAAGTATTAGAGACTGTGTTATGTTTCAAAACTAAAAATTATTGCCATATATTTTTTTCATGTAGTATTTTAATCATAAGAAACGCATTATAAAAAGTTGATGACTGGATAATACTTGTGAAATTCCGTCACCTCTTTATGGGGTATGGGACGGACACATTTTTGTGTCCGTTTCACACTTTGTTTTGCAAACAAGAAGTTGATCAGATATTTGTAGCCATTAAATCGAGCCTTAAATCATTATGTTATCGAGTATGATACCCAGGATTTCTCAAGCTTAACTATTAAATCGTGAAGCTGGGGACAAGCAATAGAATATTAAAAACCTGCTGATCAAAAGCAGTTAAAGTGATTCCGTAATAAAACTTGCATGAAAGAAAGAAATAAAACATTATACTTGAATGCGATGAACAACGGCGGAGGTGGAAATATTGGAAAGGCTTACATCGGAGGCAAACATTTTGATTGAGCGTCTGTATGCAGCAGTTTGCTTCAAATATGAAATCGAATTTATACGAATGAAATCTGTGGTTGTACATGCTACCACAGGGTTTAAATTTAAGTGAGTGAGTTTTTACTAAGTCTATAAGGCAATAGATGACGTGTCTTTGTGTTATTTATAAGTAACGTTTGTTTTCAAACATTTTATACATACATAATTGTAATAATATTTGTTATAGTTTTAAATCAACGAGAGTATAAACAACATTTCTACCCGACTTCTTCTGTAAAATAAATGAAAATTTGCGAAAAAATATCACGTTATCATGTCAGTGAAATTCTAGTTTCCCCGATACATGGCTGATATATTTATGTGTCTATTCCTGTGATTGTTTCATTTACAGACACGAGATTTCTGTAACCTACTATTATACTTAGCCAGGCTTCAAACCGGCTCACGTTTAAAGCCATTTGTTTAACCAAAAATCGAGGCGTTAAAATAATCATGACATAACGGAATATAAAGATATTTCCGTTGGCGAGTACGGAGCGTTTTTGCACTTAAGAGGATAAAACAATAATTCTTAAGACTAATTTAATTAGAGGCGCCGAACGAAATCTCCTCGTAAATATGGAAGTGTCAAAATTAGTAATTAAATAAAATAGGCGAAAGCTTTCTCTTTAATTATGGCAGCTGTTTTCTTTCCTTATCACAATTTTATTACAATGACAATACGCAAGAGCTCGCTATTAAATTATTTGCGAGATAACCTCGCGACATCAGCGGCTTACGAGGGCTTATTTATTCTATGCAAAACCGCTTCTGTTAAATGGACCTGCGTATTTGTTTTAAAGACGCGTATTCAAACACGCTGTTCGGACGTATGTGATAAGAATTTAATCGTTTACGTATTATAGTCACCAAAATATATAGAAAAAGCAACGAAAAAATTTAAACACAAAAAGTGTGTGTGAGAAGATTTTAAACAAGTTTAAGCAATTCATTCCGCAACCTAAACGTCGTACGTAAAAATTATACTTCCAATCGTTCGCGTTCTTTTTTTAAATTATTACACGAAATTGTAAAAGAAATAAATTTGATATTTAAGATTTGATTAGAAAAACTGTGTTTCGATTGTTGGAATCTCATAATAAAAAAGGCGTAATACCCCGCGTATTACGCACTTTTCAAATTTTACAATTAAGTTCACACGAGAGGGATCTGTTGAATTAAGCAAATTAAGAGCAGTTTCGTGAACAGCGATTAGAGCGTGTCTATTGGCCCAAAACCGCCCTTATTCGGTCTACATGTATTAACATAATTGTAATGTCTGCAGATTTTTCATCTCACCCATAGAAAAAAGGTGACTCGTCTATTTATTTTTCAAAAATAAAAAGTTGATAAATTATAAAACAACCCGAATATATGAAAACAAGGTTTTGAAATTCAAAATTGCCTTCTCTTTTGCTTCCTAAAAAACCCCAACGAGATAGAAAACAATTCAAATATTAAGATTCGAATTTAAAATTGCTTTACAAGTAGATAAAAAATCATTCGCTCTAACGAACTCAAACATAACCTAATGATGTATCGGAAGAGCGATACGCCAAACAGCTGTAATGCAGGCGCGTGGGCGGTCCGCCCGCCCTAAACTACTCACCTCAAGGTCAACGCCGACGCCAAACCAACCGGACCCTGAACACAGAAAACCCACTGCTGGTTTCCTTCTACATTACATTTTCCGCAAGATTTTCCCGGGACAGGGCGACGGCGCCCGCTGCGCCCCAGGGAAAACTGACGGACGTCACGGCTCCGCCGCGGCTTTTATAGGAGGTCGGGGGTGGTGCGGGGCGGTCGCGAGTTGCGCCGTCGATTCGTGACTCGATAAATAAATTAATTAAAAGTGCAAGTGAGTGATCGCCTCGTGCAGTCCTGTGAAGTCGTCTAGAGCTTCCGTTTAATTGGAGTTTCAGGTTCGCCGGACATGCCTTTAATGACTACGTGAATATTATACTCCTAATTGACTTTCAGCGTTCGACGTAGTCGCTTGTTTAGCACAACTTTATGTACCAGTATTGGTAGTTGATGCGACTAGTGGACGTTTATCACTTACTTTCAATGGTTTCAAAACATAAGGTATTTTTAAGTAAATACCCCAGCCATGTGACATCTAATTAAGATGTGCTGTTGGCCCATCAACAGAAGATGAAAGACGGTGGTTTGTGATTCAAACGAAGTATCATTATTTTTTTATGATTAAACAAGCACGGGGTTCTTCATGGTAGGTGAAATATATCTGCTTATAATATCTGGACAAGACACGCTGTCCTATTTGGCCTCGAATATTCGGAAATTCACAGACCGAAACACGATTAAACCTGGTTTTTAATATCCACAATTAATATCCAAATTTCCGAGAGATTATAAATTCATTGGAAACCTATTGAACCGGGGAGGGACAAACCCACGACCCGTTGATTATGCTACCATTAGACCAACGACCCGTCAAAGCTAGACCGACTAAAAATCCTTTGCACTCATCTTAGAAACATTTTAAACTTAGAATATTATGTAAATAGTTTCAAAGTAAAATTTCGTAGCTACAGGTTGAATAGCTAGCGTAGCCGTTAGCTACGATTTCACTACGGTGCTTCTACACTTCTACGCTGCGCTACGCTGCCGCGGTTCGCGGTTGATAAAAGAGCAAGTAAGTAACAATTTTTAAATAAATAGTTCTCTATTAAATAAAGCATTATCACAGTTTAAAATACAAAATATACAGCTTAATCTATTTTAAATGGAACCCCAGTTTTTTCAATCTCTGTACAGCACTCCTGGTTGAGTTTGCAGAAATATATTGTTATTTTAAATTAGTGTTAGAAGGTACACATAACATAATATTTGAAGTCTAGTTTTAGTTCTAGCCTGATAAGCGTAAAAGATCCTAGGTTCGAATCACGGTGTATGTAAATGTGCATGAATAAGAAGAGCCTTTGCACAAACATGTTTTATTTTGTATATGTAATTCTAAGTATCTATGTTCTTATGTTTGTGCAATAAAGAGAGAAAGAAAGTTTTATTTATTATTATTATTATAAAGAGTCAGACAAAGCGTAGAATTTTTATCAGCTACTTATCCATTAATACAAATTGGTCAGTGAAACAAACTTATGTAAAACCATATTTTATACAAGTGACTAAATGTGAAATATATTTTTTATTTCAACAATAATAATAATAACAATGTACTTAAATTAATGAATTAACTAGTCTTCAATATTACACTTGTATATAGTATAATGATATGTAAGCTACAATATAGAAAGGTGTGCTTTGACGTTTAGATTAAAAGAACTCGATATTTACGAGTTTACAGGAATTGCACGTGTCATATGAAATCCTTGGGACTAGCTTTACACTTGAAGAAAGTGAGAATCGATCGTTCGTAGGAGGTTCTTGGAATTAGACATATGAGCATCAAGTGAAGTTTGAGCGATTCTTAACCAAAGCTCACTACTGTCTATAGTTTACGCGAGTAGGACACATTTAAATAAAACACTTTAACGGTTTAAAACGCGATATATTAGTTAAACTTATTTGAAAATGATTTTTAATTTCGGCCCGACGTTTCGGATGCTTTGCAGCAGCCGTGGTCACGGAGAGACTGAGAAACGTCGGGCCGTCGGGTCATTTTTTTAAAAATAATTTTAACTAATATATCGCGTTTTAAACCGTTAAAGTGTTTTATTCAAAAGCACACTACTACAATGTTAACAATGCCATGTCTGTACTAATAATCAACGGGTCGTTGGGTTCCCACCGGGTCCAACATGTTTCTAATCAAATTATAATTTTTCTGAAACATGTTGTCTTCGTTTGGGAATTTGCATATTTAATGGGTTATACGAATATTCGACATTCCACCCTGGTTACAAACTAACTTTTTTATCCACAGATAAAAAAAATAAAGATTAATCACGATTCGGTATCAGTTTGTAGATTTTCGAAAAACGAAAAAAAAATGTTTGTGTATGTATCGTTCTTTTTTTAACGTTTCATATTGTAACTTTCGTTACGAAACCAATTTATTTATGCTTTGCTGAGAACAAGTAGTAAATACACGCTACATATATTAGTAAAAAATAAATCTACTTTCTTACTATAGTAACTATAATTATATGAACTCAACCCTTTGTACAAAATGACTTATTTGCCATCCTACAGCGAATTAATATCATTAAAGCAAAAAATATTCATAAAAATTTGATTTCAAGTTATTTTATATCAAATTAATATGTACCCTACATATTTGAATGTAGATTTGAATAAAGAATAGTTTGTTGTTAGTTGGATTGAATAACTTTAGTGTGTATGACTAGAATACTACACCTACAAGAAGACGTAATATATATGATAACAATGTAACCACAAGCAAGATTCGAACATGCGAAGAAATATTGTAACGACAGTCACTCGTTTTAGGTAATTGTTTCGCCAGCTTTTCTCATTTCGAAACAATAATGGTAACAAACGGTGATTAAATAAACTTAAAGGAGCGCGTAAATGCATAAAATCAATAATGGTAATGAACAAGCAAACAACGCTGAATATAATTATAGACTTCTACTTCGCCTTATTAGAATTTGTTTAATACTTGTTTTCTAATAAAAGGTCTAATATTCTATTAAATATCTAGTATGGTCGACGATGTTAGTGATTATGTGAAAGAAAATGTTCCGTAAATAAAAAAAGATTACTTTTATTTGTTACTTTGGATTATAACTCTTAATACAAAATTTTTTAGAACTTTTTCTTAAATTTTAGTAGCAAAATAATAGAGATCCTAAAAAAGGATCTCTATCACTGTAACTGCTGATGAACAGTTAAAAATTAAAAACTCTAAATTCACAGTAACTATCAGTACGCAAGTTAAGGGCGTGGGACGAACGAGAATAAACGGTTAGGAACTCGCCGCCACTCCTTCTATTGACAAGTTTTTGTTACAATTCTTACGCACTTAATGTGTGTGAAAGCCCGTTTCCCCCTCGTGGGGCATGGGGCGAACACATTTCTGTGTCCGTTTTACTAATCTGTTCTTTTAACGGGCAAGTTGATCAGACTTCTGTGCCCTGCCCGACCGAAACAAGTTTTTTTGGTTCCCTGGGATTCAAACCCAACGACGCGCTCAACGCAATGCTAGGCAATACGTTTAACCATTTGGCTACAGAGGCGGTCATTTACTTAAAAATAAAGGTTAAAATTACGTTATAATAAATTTGATAAGGATCAATGAGATAAGGATTTCGGTAGGTTTTTAGGATTGTCGGGTTTCCAGTGAAATTCACTATTTCAAATGTAATATTGCCTTTCATATTGACCCTTCCTTTCAATGAAGCAAACTAAGTTATCTTTGTGTAAATTTATTCATTGAGTTACAAATGGGATATGCATTTTTGCTATACGTCATTTTATGTTGAAATGTGCGAGTTGTTCAGATTATAAATTGAATTTTTATTTATGTCCATAGTAAAATAAAACATTAAACAAAAAGAAATACTGAATTCTCTATAAAATTAGAAAAATTATTTAGAATCGTAAAAAAAATATTGTATGTTTGTCGGTCCGTTTGTCGTGATTTCTACAGAGTGTTTAAAAGAGCAACGTTATCGTGGAGAACACCAAACTCAGTCTGGCTTTTTTCAACATGCCATTATATACTGTCATTTGTAATAAAAAGTAATAAATTTTAGGTCAATGAAAAGTTGTAAAAACAGTTAAGTAAGTGTATTACAAATTGAATTTATTTTATCGTTTATTGTAATTTCTTCTAGGCACCGTATAGACAAAGTAAAAACAAAGACGAGAATAGACAAGGATAGGAGAAAACATAATGTTCATATTTCAAACTAGGTGTGCCAGCGACTTCGTTCGTTTGCGGGAATCGTTGCCTTGGACTTCCAAATTCTTTGTTGCAAACCTATTCATCTTTATAAACCAAAGTTACTGTGTTGCCCACGACGGCGGTCGCGTCCCTTTCCTTCGTTCTTGCAAGTTAATTTTAAAAGATAGATATATAGCGTATCGGGCTTTTTTTAGATCATTTAAACAGGAATCATTCCTTCATACATAGTTTTTGAGACCCATAATGATGAATATTTCCCAATTTATTTCACATTTATCGCTGTATCTTCGCTTCTAATAATCACAGCGCAATATTTTTTAGCCTTACTCGATAAATGCTTTAACCAACACAAAAATAGTTTTTCAATTCGAACCCGTAGTTCCTGAGATTAGCGCGTTCTAACAAACAAACAAACTCTTCAGCTTTAAATATTAGTATAGATAGAAATGTTACATTTTACTTATTAACACATACCTTAATACTTACCTAAATACATAATTTCGATACCGTTTCTATACGATAAGTTTCGAACTTGGATACATAAAAAAGTAAGTATAGTATTATAATAAAACATTTCAACGGTTTAAAACGCGATTTGCAGCGGCCGTAGTCACGTGACCACGGCTGCTGCAAAGCATCCGAAACGTCGGGCCGAAGTTAAAAATCATTTTCAAATAAGTTTAACTAATATATCGCGTTTTAAACAGTTAAAGTGTTTTATTTAAATGTGTACTAATCGCGTAAACTATAGACAGTATTTAGTAAGTATAGTAGTTAAACTATTCTATTTGTTACAAATATCAAATCACGTATTCCACATAAACGAAACTTGGAATGAGAGAAATATGTTTTTACTACTGATAAAATATTTCATGGAAATTTTACAATTGGGGATTTATATAGGCGTTATAGTAGAAGGATGTATAAAAATAAAGTTTTAATAAATATTACCTTTAAAACCATTTAAAGTTGGAATATCTATGTTTGATCGAATAGAGGCATATATCGGAGTTTGAAAAAACCACTATGTAAGGGTTTGAAAAATACTACAGGACTTACTTGGTTTTGAAAATCCTATATTATCCGTAATAGGGTTGCTTATCATAATATTTTACTAAACTAAATAACAGATTTTTTTATACCATGTAGTAGTTTAATTTAGTAGATTAATAAAACAAAATCTAATTCGTCATGACATAGTCTTCAGAATTATTTATTATGTCTTCTTCCCTGTCACCAACTAGTTCTTCTTTGCAAGATATTTGTATAATATTTCAACTGAGGGATGTAATACCAGTCAGTGCCAAAATGTTTATGAAATATTTTTTTTATATCTTCTAATTTTATAGAAGGAACTATGTCAATCATGAGTATGAATATTGATATACTTTTTCCTTTTTCTAATAACGAACACTATTTCCAAAATCTTTCTTACGAAATTTGCCAGTTCTTTAATTTTGTATTTGAAGCTGATAATACGTTTCAATATTTACTTATCACAAAATGGAAAGAACCTTTTAAATATACACACACACATACATACATTTTAATTGAAAAAAAGAAATATAAATTCAAATGTTTAATTCTTAACATTTTACAACCCTGGTTTTCAAAACTTAACGTCAACAAAATATTACTTAGGATTTCTTTACTTTTTAGCCTTCTTTTCGACATTATTCTTCTTAACATTTAATAATCTTCTTTGCTTTTTCAGGATTCAGCACACAAATTCTTACATTGTTATCATGCATTTTCCCCAAACATCTAATAAAATAGTGACAACAAGTGTAAGTTCTCACAACATCTTCTAACTAACAGCCATCTTGGACGCTATAATTTGCTGTGATTGGTCAATGTGGACTTACTTGAGTTTGATTTTAACTTATCTATAGACATACCGGAGTTTGAAATAAATCGTCGATTTTAACCTTCGTTTTAGTGAGTTTTTTGGGGACTTACCGTGATTTGGAATAAAGTATCATAAAAACAAGTAAATTTCAAATTTAGCGCCATTCATAGTTCAGTTTCGAGTATGGGTGTGACTTATCGGGGTTTGATATTTACCTACACATTTATAAAAAAATTAAATTATTAAAAACACCGGACACAGCTGATGAACATGTGAGATTATGTACCGTAACGCGTCGTAACGCGTTATGTAATAAAGCGGTTTTCTTTACCCGTTTGACAGCGAAAGAATTGTATATAAAAGTTAATTCCAAGTAAGTTTCCAATGTTGTAACCATGTTCCAACATTGAACACATACAAAATTGTCTTATTTAGAGTGTTCCCTACACTTTTATCGAGACAGTCCTAATAAGGTTTCACGCTAATCAAGCAATCAATACATCGATACTAGTATACGGACGGACGGACAATGAACTTATCACTCAAACGAAGAGTTCGTAACGCACTGCGCAGTGTATTAATTGTATTTCGATTCAAATGTTGTTTATTATATAAGTTAATATCTAAAAAAACGAATTATACAATTTTTTAACTAAGCTAACTTAAATAGTGTCTACAGTTTACGCAAGTAGTACACATTTAAATAAAACAGTAACCGTTTAAAACGCGATGTATTAAAATTTATTTTTGAAACGTCGGGACTAAGTTAAAAATAATTTTCAAACAAGTTTAACTAAAATATATCGCGTTTTAAACCGTTAAAGTGTTTTATTTAAATATACTTATTTTTAATTTAACTGCTGCCTGACGTTTTGCACTTGGTTTGGTCAAACTGAAGTAAAAATAAGTAAATTGTTATATTTCGTGTTTTACATTAGTGTTGCGTACACTACAGACAATACTTGGTTAATAGTTGGTGACGTGACGTCATGGAACGTTTTTCGACTTAAAAATTAAATGTAGTGTTTCTCATATTAGTAGAATTTTTAATAAAAATCGCTATCTATTGAACTGTTTCTTTTTATAAAATTAAGTTAATAAGTAAATTTAGAAGGCATAAAAATGAATCCCAAAAAAAACAATTTTACTTTTAAAATTTAAAGGAATATACCAAAAGTTCAAAGTACGTTAATAAATAAAACCCAAAAAAATAAAAAAGAACCGCCCGAACAGGGACTTGAACCCTGGACCCTTGGATTAAAAGTCCAATGCTCTACCGACTGAGCTATCCGGGCTCTTGTATGAAGATCTCAATTTAACAAACTAAAGCTCTTAGTGACTTAAGACCTTTTGACTTTCAATGTTGCTGATGTTAAAACCTATTTTCTTATTTTAATATTATAAATGGCCGCTTATAAATTATATAATAATTTTTTTAAATAGACATAAGAACATGGATATTAGAATTATGTATACAAAATAAAACATTATATATTATGTAATGACATTATATAAGTTTAACTATCATCAGTTACCATGATATGAACAAATTTATCTCTCTTCTTACGTTAATTGACAATTGTATAACTGATAATTTGGCTTAACTCCTTTCAAATGGCCCCAAGGTCCGTGTAAGGAGTCCAATGTTCTTCTAAATTTGTCTTCTATCTAAGACATTGTTAAGTATAAAGATGAAGAAAATAATACAAAACTAAAAATAAAACATCACTAAAAATCGAAACCTAGAAGTATCCAGGTAGCCCCTCCACATACATTTATTATTGTATTTTTGTGTACGATAAAAAGATTTGATTTGATATTATGAAACTTAAATTATACAATTATATTTATCCATACCAAATAGACAATACCAAACCCTTGTGTGAAACTTTTCCTAGTTTTTACATAACATTTGGAAAATAGGAACGAAGACAGAAGTATTATGGAAATAAAGAGCCGTGGAATGGACATTGAAATGTCAACCCAATTCCTAAGCCGTGGGGTGGAGCCGCACCATGTATTAAAACGTCGTAACAGCTTATAACTTTTACGTGAAAATTTTTGCAGTTAAGGGTCGTCGGTCAACGTAGGATACTTTAATATGACCTTTTATTAATGTTAATTTGAAATTCCATTTTCCCTATACTGGGGCCAGACACATTTATGTGTCTATAAAAATGGTCGAGTTATTTATAGCTGATTTGAATGAATTTCTATGTAGGTACATGTCCCCCACTTTCAGAACTTAGATGGAACAAATTAATTTGCAAATTATTTGTGTTTAGTTCTTCAAGTGAACAAAAAATAATTTGTAAATGTAGAATGTTAACATACATTAAAAAACACCCACTTTTTATATGTATCTATTGTTATCGAAATAAAACTATAAATTTATGACTTGTCCCCCCTCTTGGCGCGAAAGCTGGTTCCGTCCATGATTAATTTCTATTACGAATTTAGAACACCTTGCACTTAGTAATACGTAAACCGATATACGACAGAGTACAACAAAAACTTCTTCAAAAACCTTTATTTTCCCCCCCCCCCCCCCCCCCCCCCCCCCCCCCCCCCCCCCCCCCCCCCCCCCCCCCCCCCCAAAAAAATTCTTTTTAATTTTTTTCTTTTTTTCCCTTTTTTTTTTTTTTTTTTTTTTTTTGAGCACAACTAATTTCAACTATCAAATCGCTTTCGGTTATTCAAACATTCAATATTTTTAAAATCGATTTTCCTGACCAATATAACTACGCCGTGGAAGAACTATCATTTCCATGTTATATTTGAGTTCGGACCGAGTGGCGATGACAGCGCCGCGCGCGGCGGGAGACGAAACGAGCCAGTCACCTAGCTGTCACCGACATTTAAACAGTAGCGCAGTTGTTTCCGACGTAAACATTGTTTACATTTCATATCGTCCACTGTTGCGCGTAATTAGATTAATAGGGGCGATCTTCAACACATTACTACGTGCATTCTATGAATATATTAGCTATCATAGTGGCACACTTGAACAGCTTATAAATGTTAATTGGAACTGCTAAGTCTTGTTGGCGTAATGGTAGAATTCGATCCTTACCGGGTCCAACAAGATTCTAACTTTGTAATCATTTGTTATTTCAAAAAAAAATCCACCCGCATCTCGAACCACCGTCCACAGATGAAGCAGTGAAGTTTAATCACGTTATGGTTTCAGTCTGTGGATTTCCGAATATAGGCAAACAGGCCCACACCGTTTCTAGTTCAGATTTTAAATGGCCCGGGTGTTTTACTTACCATCAAATGAACCAAATGCTTGCTTGTCTTTATTTTTTTTTGCTTCTTTGTATTTTATGATAGAGAGGACATTTGTATTTAGATGGGCTAAAATAGATTATAATGGCAATGTTAATTGTGTGTCAATGTTATTATTACCTTTTCACAATATCTTAACGATAATTTCCAAAGTTAACAACCAGACATTTTAAATAAGACAAGTTCACTCGGCAATAACGTACGTCTTTTTGGTAAAGAGTGGAAATTCTAGCTGGTCACGCTTATCCGGCGCCACTCTCTCGTAAACCCGCCACGAGATGGCGTTGTTGGTTTTATTGCGCGTTTGCACAACAAGCTGTAATGGAAGACTACAATATTGACAGACCATTAATTCGACAGGAAATTGTGCTGAAATCGCGATCTCTGCAGGTGTTTGCGAACTTTTCAAATTAGCCCACGCCGCTGTTGTTTTTGCAACCAACAATGCACGAGTGCATTTGAATTTGTTTTGCGTCCCTTTAAAACAATTAAGATTATATTTTATAGTCTAACGGAAGTTGGAACATCTAGTATAATGCAAGTATATATTTTATAGGTATATACGAATAAGTCTACAATTACAATGACTGTATAAATAGTACACGGTGTTTTAGTATGAATACACTTGGCCTTCATGAAATTGTACACACAACTTGTTTCTCTAGTCATATAGTAGTTATTTTGACATAAGAACTCTTGTAAATCAACATATTTAGGCCAATACTAGTAACGTCAGTAAACATGAGGCGTGTCCCAAAGAACAGGATACAAAATTAATCTAAGAAAAAGTCTAAGTATGTTATATCCAGATATCAGGAAAGTAATAGGCAAAACAAGTTATAGTTTGAAGTAAATTAATTAATAATTGTTAGACTGAATTTTGGAAGTATGTCTTCCTAATTCGGACATTTGTTGTTTAAAAACTACTAAACACGTTATTGATATTATTTAAAGGCAGCAAAAGTTATGATATTCATAGACTCCAAATATAACGTCAATAAAAATAAATTCACTCGAAATATGTGGGGTGATACACACTACCCACACCAGTTCTAGGGAGGACATATTCTTTTAATTAAGCCACGCGGAAAGCATCGTAACTTTTACGATGTCCGTGATTTAACTATTATTTGTCATCAATTTTATGACGCTCTGAAGCCAAACTGGACAGTAGGAAATAAAACGAAGCCATTCAGAATAATATTCGAGACTAAAACTGTTCCTTTGATAATAAATTCAACAGTCTTCGATAACAAAAGCGACATATCAAAAATAATCTTTCTTTTATGAAACGAACTTATAGACGATGATAGGGCAAATATATGATACAACAAATAATATTAAGTGTAGTTTATGTATTTAAGCATCTTTTTATAAAATCATCACCCATTTCCACAATAAAAATTTGCACCGAAATAACGAATATTTTATAAGAATTATTAGACAAAGTTATACATCTAGCGACATCTATTAGTTTAAAATATAAAAAGTATTTTAAATTATTACAGTAGATGGCGCTTAACTTCAATCATTCCTTTATACTAACTCCTAAGACTAACTAGTTCCTAGAATACTAACTAGATGTCGCTATTTCAAAACTGTACGGACCGGGATTAATTTCTCTTTGGAAATAATATTGTATAATGTTTATCTTTCTTGTCTTCAAAGTATATACAATGTATTTGGCTTAAGCCGAAAGTCTTACCTCCATGTTAGATTCGTGTGTTTCCACTTCTCTCCTTGGACGGCAAAACGTTTCCTCCTTCTACCATTCTCATCGGTGCCTACTTCGCGATCTGGTCTCCCACATCGCTTCTTTTTCATAAGTTCTCTCGTCGCATGATCTATTTCACCAGTGACCGGAACACCACCAAATTCCTGAAAAGCAACCATGCCGATGTCAGAAAATAGCACTGCTTTGAATAAATATTAACTAGCAAAATCTAATATGGATGAGGACGAAGAAAAGAGATGCCGGTGAAGCCGAAGAAGATTTTTTTTAATGATAGAGGAGAACAGTCAAGCTTGAGGTTCACTTGATGGTAGGTGATATACCTCAGCCTCTAGCGTATAAACAATGCGCTGTCTACCTATTTTTCGCTTCGGATATTCGGAAATCCACAGACTCAAAGCGAAACACGATTAAGCTTTACGGCTTTACCATCTGCGGGACATTGGTTCGTGACCCGGACCGAATTTCTCCATTCCTACCACCCGATATTATAAATTGAAAAATTAGAACATGGACCCGGTGGGGATCGAATCCATGGCCCGTTGAATATTAGCCATACATTGCTACTATTACACTAATGAGACTGTCAAAAGATATTCGGAAATTAGAAGCCTGGGTCCCATATAAATATTCTTGGCGTTTTCCATACAGTTCAAAAACCCTGGAATTAAACTCGACCCGTCAGTTGCAGCTATTAAGCTCTAGGGATCCTTATATTTTCAACAGCTTCGTAAAACTAGAGTCTTCCAAAGTTCGCTTGTCGAAACTACCACGAAAGCGTATAACAAACATCAAAGCTTCATAAGTTCGGAACGATATTTTCAACTAAAAGGACAGCACAAATTGAACTACAAGTTAAATTTCTTTCTGTACTCGTTCATTTAAACTTTACCATTTACAACATCAGCTCCAAGCACTGCTTAACACCGAGTAAGTACTTACTTGTAGAGTTTTAATGGCAATCCTAAATTCATCTTCGTAGGAGTGTGCAACATCTCCCAGCAAAAGGTTGCCGACTTCTGGTTGACCTTTCTTCAAGTAGCCAAATTGTTCTAGGTAACTCCTCTGGAATATACAAAATGGATGTTCTTAATTCTGACGTTTAAGTATGTAAGTAGAAGTTTTTTATTTTATTTAACTAGATACACAAAAATGTTTGAAACTAATATATTGTGTAAGGCTTTCACCACCATCGTTCATATCATTGTTTTTCGGGCCGTTCGGCCGACGTGAAGGAGAAGAGGTTCTCGACGTTTCGCCATCACGAGCGGAGGGCATCATCAGGAGATGTTAGCTCCCTGATGGCTCGAAAAATACTTCTCGCTTACGTCGGCCAAATAGACCGAAAAACAATGATATTCTGTTTTTAGCTTATATTATATCTATATATAAATAAACATAAATTCTAAGAATAACTGTAAGACATCCACATAATAAGTAAAAAGAATTAGCATCATATTGTTAGGTTTTACTTAATTTTAATTTACAAACAAGATGCGACTGCTTTGTCTGCGTTGAATAGTGGCAGATAGGTAGAATAGTTAGATTAACTTGCAAGAACGACGGGAAGGGACGCGAACGACGTCGTGGCTAACAGCATAAGTTTATAAAGATGACGGGGTCTGCAAAAACTAATTTGGATGCCATAAATAACGATTCTCGCGGACGAAATGGTCGGCACAGATAGTGTTAGTATAAAAGTAGGAGAAACATTAAGAAGTCTAAACACATATAAGTTTGTTTTACGAATATTTCACTAAGACTAAGCTTTGGGTTAGCAATCAAAGATTACAAGTCTTTTTTTAGGCTTACAGTTAAAATACAAATATGTATTTTAAAATCGCATAATGTCTTATACATTGTAACAATAACAATAATCTTTAATATTGTCGCTCTAGAAAAATAAACAAACGTTAAATATCAAAGCGGCCATTGTTAGTCATATTCTTTGTAAGGTATTGTTACCTCATTAGTAGCCATTAAGAATGTTTTATGTGACAATCGTTCTTACTATTATTTGTGTTTGCTTTGATACCTATCACGATCACTATACTAAGTGTAAAGATAGGATTTTTAAATTGTTTGTATAAGTATAACAGTTTCTAGAAAACGTGCGAAGCGATAGCTCAAAGTTATCTAAGTTAAAAATTTTACTATTTAAATAAAACACTTTAACGGTTTAAAACGCGATATATTTTCGTTAAACTTGTTTGAAAATCATTTTTAACTACGGCCCGACGTTTCGGATGCTTTAAACCGTTAAAGTGTTTTACTTAAATGTGTACCGATTTTAACAGTCAGGCGTTACAACGTCATTATGAATGCGATACGTAACGGTGTTGTTGGGTTTATAACTTTAAAAAAGCTTCCTTACTTATTCATCAACTGTCGATATCGAAAAATCATTTTAAAGATAGATACAAAATAGAGAAAACGGGTTTGAATATATTTTAACTATAAAAAAGATAGCTTGATTTGTGTAATAAAAAAGTTTCAATCTATTATTGTTCGTAAATTAAAATCTCTCGTTAAAAGTAGATTTACCAGTTACAACATCAAAGAAATGGAACAATGAATCAAGCGATTGTTTGCTTAACTCCAGCAGTCGACTAATAACGAAAACTTTGTGAATAACCCGGCATTATTCACTCCTTACGTTATCTGTGGCTTTGTTCTGTTTAAGGATACTGGCTGCTCGAGACAAGTTAAACACCTGAACAATTAGGGGGAGAATATTAGCTGACTATTGTGTTGCTTCGGAAGCCTTTATCTAAATTGGAATTCTGAAGAGTTGGGAAAGATTTTCGAATTTGGAACACTTAATAGACTGTCATTTACGTACTTTGTTGCTTTTAAAAATATATGGTTATAAATTTGACCCACAGCGAATACAATACTTTGGCTTCCCGGCTTTTTTGAGTTACAATACTTCTACAAGATGGTAGACTCCTCGATTGCTCGAAGAATTATAATTCTAATTCTTCGACAAGATAAGAATTATAATTCTTCGAGCAATCGAGGAGTCAACCATCCATCCATAGTGTAACATCTCCTGATGATGCCGTCCACACGTGATGGCGAAACGTCAAGAACCTCTTCTCGCTCACATCGGCCGAACAGCCCGAAAGACAATGATATGCTGAACGATGGCCGTGAAAACCTTACACAATTTATGAATACAATACTTATTTTTGGCAACTGTTTTAATAAAACAAAAGCCTCCATTAAACTATATTAGAGACAAGCGTTAGCGTAACGACATACGGACCGATACTTTTTCTATTCAGTTATTATAAAAGAACTAAATAGCTACGACAGACACTAAGCACTTCAATGAAACCTAATTAAATAACTAAAAACGGTTAACTACAAAAAAATCATGTAAATATGGTTTATTTAATTTACATTACCGTATATGTATTTTTATATAATTAATTTCGACTGTATTGTCGTCAATAATTATATAAATTACTTATTTAAAACGACTTTTGCAAGTTTTTTAGAGTAAATTATAAAAGATTATTAGAGGATTGTTCCTTTACAATGAAGTAGCAAGAAAAACATTAATTAATTGGTGATAAAAGTCCAATAAACTGGGTCAAAAGGTGATAAATTTAACAGCTGAATGGATGTTAATAGTATTCTAATTAGGTTAAAACCAGGAAACCGCGAACATCATACAGAATATCTAAAGAAATGAGGACAAAGGAGAAGCGAAGTTTTGGACCTATGCAATTCATACATGTGTTCCATTCCCCATTCCACCTTGTGGGGCATTGGGCGACGCTGCTGTGTCCATAGATAATCTTCTGTGTCCTGCCTGAATTTATTATTAATTAAACTAAAATTGTAATTAGAAATAAAATAACAAGGGTATGATCATGAAAGGAAATTACTTGTTCCATAATTGGAGAAGCTCTCTTTGACTGAACTCTTGAAGCTTCTTTTTAAAAAAAGGGAATTTTTAAGAAATGGTAGCTATTAACTACACATAATCTTCCATAATAGAATATACTTATAATAGGAAGTTCTGATGAAGTTTTGATGTTCTGCTGGAGGAAGATTTTGGTATAACTTAATAGAAGAAGGTTAGGTTATCTTTAATACAAACATTTCCATTCTGAAGAAATGATATTTTAGGAGAGGTTAGGACGAAGTATACCTGCTAAACCTAAAAAAAAATCAATTTACACCACTAAATACAGTAATTTTTAAGATTAAAATTATTTAAAAATTCAACCAGCATTAGATCAAAGGGCAAAGTCATACAACATTGTAAATCGAGCGTCACGAACAAAATTGCGTGTTCCCATAGTAATCAGTGAAAATTGACCGCTATCAGCGGCTAGTCAGGAGTCACAAATGACCTATCTTCGAATCGAGGGCAATCACTGCAAATCACGGCTAAGCGTCGCGTGATGGACCCTATTTGTCCTTTAATTAATTGGCGAAGCTCATTAGCCTGGACTACATTCGTCCGGCATCTAGGACATTGGACGTGGAGGTCTGTTTTTTATGATAGAGCAGGACAAATAAGCGTGGGGTTCCCTTGATGGTAGGTGAAACACCACAACATTATAACAACTAAACAAGGATATTCGGAAATCCACAGAATCAGAGCTATTCTCAAAAAATACTGTAACCAACACAAAAATATTTTTTCCATTTGAACCAATAGTTTCCGTGTTCAAACAAACAACCTCTTCAGCTTTATATATATTCGTATAAATACTGTCTATAGTTTATGCGAGTAGTACACATTTAAATAAAACACTTTAACGGTTTAAAAAGCGATACATTAGTTAAACTTATTTGAAAATGATTTTTAACTTCGGGCCGACGTTTCTCCCCCATGACGGCTGCTGCAAAGCATCCGAAACGTCGGGCCGAAGTTAAATTTTTTTTTCAAATAAGTTTACCTAATATATCGCATTTTAAACCGTTAAAGTGTTTTATTTAAATATATTTGTATAGATAGATATAGATGAACATACATAATTAGTTTTAACATAAAATAATTTAACCTTGGCTCTTCAATCCCTTAATTGTAACCCCAGACATATTAATAGTGTTCTGAGAAATAAAGAAGACACATAAAATTGATGATTCAACTTTGCCTTTTGAATTTGCAAGAGTCTCATAGCTAATAGGTCAATACGTCGAAGAACATCTGTTCAGTAATTAACGATGGTAAGACTAACGTGGGAGCTAGTCTGATTCAAAATAGGTATCTATAATCATTATTAGATATATGTTTGACATCAATAACTGGCTTCCGGGCGTTTTTTATTTTAATTAAAATATTGATAAATACTGTAACTACTTTAGCTAAAACCACAGTTAACGAATCCAACATTTACTTGATTAAAAATCGAAATTAGATTTAAAAAATCACGACACTCGCAGGATTTGAACCTGGATTACCAGCGTTCCGTGCTTTTGACTCATTGTGCTACACGTTATGATTCAAGACCTGCCATTGTCGTTATGTTTGTTTTTTTAATCTAAAATTGTGATTTTATTTATATAATACCATCGTGTGCAATAATATCTTGTGATAAATATTAAATATCGAAACATTGATTATGCACCAATGGTAGACAAAATATATTTTTTTCTTTGGCACTTGATTTCAAGTAAATAAATTTATATACTTCACGCTTTTTGATTAAAAATGTGGATTAAAAATTCGAGCAAATTTGTGTATACACACACTGTTGTAAGATTACTTAACAATATTGTATATAGAACTATTTTTATCACCTAACCACACTGTTTTAAATTTGTTGTTTGATTGTACAGATACTGAAAAGTAACCACCTATTATTCGGAGCCCTATTATACTAGTGGTATATGCAGATTGGTGGTTCGCGTCATCTAAACAAAAAAAAAACCGAAATTAAATTATCCTACAGATTAAAGATTGATGCCGTTTTTTTTTATCTACGACGACGCGATTATCCAGCAAAGTAGATCTGTTATACTCAAGAACCAAACAATCCTTTAAATATTCCGGTTATATAGATAATTAGAAAATAAACAACTAATTTTTTTATAAATAAAAA